TCCCGCCCTCAACGTCTCTAATGAGCGCTTTGCCGCCACGGAACGCATATCTCCCTTTGCCACCTACTCCGTCTCTTCCTCCGCGTATCTTCTGGTCTGTAAAGCTTGGCTCCGCGTTGCCACGCCGCTGCTCTACCGCGTCGTAGTCCTGCGCTCCACCTCCCAGGCCAACGCTCTCGAGGAAACACTCCAAGACCACCCCGAACTCGGGCGGTTCATCAAGAAACTCCGTGTCGAAGGCGGATATGGTCCCGCCATGCACACCATCTTGCAAAGCGCGCCGAATATCCAAGATCTGTTTATCTCGTTGTGTATCTGGTCGACGGACAGAACGGCAGGATTGCGGAAGGGGCTTGCGTTGTTGAATCCTCGACGTGTTATCATAGACGATCCCTCGGCTTGCGACCCGCCGCATAACAAGCAATTGGACACTTTGATGCAGACGCTTTGGGCGTGTATTCGCAGTTGGGATAATCTAGTAAGTTTCTTTCTATGTTTTCTCCGAATTACAAGCGCTTACGATGCATCAGAAGGTCTTCAGTATGCCTTACGGCTTTGGATCGGAGGAATGGCGCAGCGTAAGGGCGCGGAACTTTATCTCGTCGCTCGAAGAATGTGCATCCGTTCATACTATCCAGCTCACCTCGTATTTCAGCAAATTTCATGACTTTCTTCGACTTCTTCCCAGCATTTCGTCGCTCGAGACCGTGGAATTCACCGACTCGACTCTGCGGCCCGCAATAAATCGCATTCCCGAGCTCAAAGCTTTGGCGCAATTTAAACCGTACGTTCACAGTTCTACTATAGCTTTACAAGATTCGAAAATCCTCCCAGCAATCTCGTTTTCCGGCCCACACCATCCACATCCACGACAACAAAAACCCCAACCCCCAGCCAATGTAAACCCACCAACCCAACCTTCATCCCCATGTCATCCACCTCCGTCAAGACCTGCGAATCAATATGGGACCGAATCCTGTTCTTCGCCATGTCCATCGACTACGACGAGCTAAGTTGTATCTCAACTCCCATATACTCGCGCCGTCCCGGCATCCTCCAGGTGTGCAAACCTTTCTACGTGAGTTGAGTCCTCTTCTTCTTCCCCGTCTCCCCACGTTCTTCATTTGATCTGATGTGATCTCGTACGCTACGCAGCGCATCGCCCTCCCCCACCTCTACCACTCCCTCCACCTCACCCCCAAGAACGCGCCTTCCATTGCAACCCAACTGCAGCACCACAAGGACAACGACACACTCAGACTCGGCGCCTGCATCCACTCCATCCGCTCCTTCCACGCACCCACCGCGTCCCTCCTCGCTATCCTCTCGCACGCGACTAACCTACAATTTCTTCTCGTCTCTGAATGGGGTGGGGAGTTTCAGCGGGGTGTGGAGAGTCTGCCGTGAGTACTATTCCTCTTATGCATAGTGCACTTGATCGACTTCACTGCAAGGTTCCCCGCCCTGCACACCCTCATTCTCCCCCCCTACCTTCGCGACCCCACCCCTTTCCTCCTATTCCTCAAAACGGGTGGAGGAACCCTTCGACGTCTTCTCCTACCCGAGAATCTCGACAAGGACACCCCGCCGATTCTCGATCTATGTCCGAATCTCGTGCAGCTTGAATTTCGGGGGGTGCGTTTTCTTCTTGCACTCATTCATGTTTTGTTTTCTTCGTTTCACTCACTCATACTTTTGTTTTGTTTTGTTGTTTTACTGAATAATGATATTTATTATTGATAGGAATACGACGTATCGCAAACCGCCGTGAAGAACGAGCATAGAGCGTTGAGGAGGATCAGCGCGATGCGCATGTCGCCGTTCGTCTTCTTTCTTCTTTCTTTCGGGTTATAGTTGTTCTTTCGCTGACGTTGCGTGTTATTATTATTTGACAGCAAACTCACTAACCTGGACGTGCGCAAGTTTCCCGCGCTCAAAGAGATACATCTTCATCATTTGGAATGGCCCACTACCGAGTGAGTTTGTGTTTCTGCTTCTTTCTTCGCGACGCAGATCTCAATTACTGACGGTTTGCTATCAGGCGCGAATTAGCGAAGAGTGGCTACGTTGCGATTGCCGAGTCGTTAGCGGAGAAGGGCGTCGCGGTGGTTGGGATGTCGGGGAGGCCGTGGGTGACAAGGGTGTGGCGGGGGAGACGGGTAGAAGGGGGCTGAATCTTACTTACTTATACTTGATTGGGATTTATACAATGATTCAAATGTAGATGGGAGATATTGTTGAGATAGAGAGGTGTGGTATGTTGCGTCTACGATTCTACGTACTCGCTCGTTGGAAGTTTCTCATTATCTTCTCACAGAGTTTTGTCGCGTTGACTATTATTCGGACGGCGGTAGTGCGAATGGTGGACCATATATCGCTATGACAGGGTACTTATGCAGACTTATGCGGGAAAAAATCCACGAGAAAATCAGTTGAGGGGTCTGCTGCTCTTCAATGCACATTCGCACATTGCTTTGATATTTGTAGCAGATGTTTGCACTCTTTCGCCAGCTTTCAACGGGGCGGCTCATAATTTCAACGAGGCCGGGACGAGGTAAAATAGTCCGTGTTATCTCGCCTCCTTTGGGCTTGGCTCTAGCTAAACTGTGGGCCCAATCAGAACGAATGTTCAACGTTGGTTCAACTTCAAGCTTCAACGGTTGAGAACTTGAGTTCGAAGCACGTCGGAAATTACCGTGATGTCGCCTGCCGTGCCGTAAATGTCTCGGCAAAATGCCACGTCTTCCTCAACCACCTCATCAAATAGCGAGCTATCTCGCGATTTACGCTCCCCCGCCCGATTCACCGACTCAAAAAACTTGAGTAACCCCGTCTGACACCCTCGCGCCATCCAAAATGTCACATCAGCTAGGTATTTGTTCTCCTAGACATTTTTTTCTGTGTATTACTCATGAATATTAGACATCCTTGTGGTATTTAATCCTGGCTCGATGCAGCGTCCAGTCGCCATCCCGCAAGTCCTCCTTCTATTACCTTCAGTTCTCTCGAAGAGTCTTCATTATGCCTCCGGAGCCGACCATTATGAACAGGCTGAAAGCCCAGACGTGTAAGCAGCCGCCGGTTGTGGAAGCAAATTTGACGGGGAAGACTGTCGTCGTTTTGGGTGGGTCTCCGTTCCTTTTGTATTCAGAGATTCGGCTCATGATTCCGGGTTCGAAGGCGCAAACACCGGTATCGGATTGTGAAAGCTGCAAACATTTCGCCAAGATGAACGCGGGGAAAATCATTCTTGCGTGTCGCAGCGAGAGTCGTGGAAGGGCTGCTGTTGATAGTGAGTATTGCGTTTCAATGTTTTTTGACTTCAGCAAACTGAATAGCATCGATGTTTTCGCAGAGCTGCGCCAGGAGACGGGGTATACCAAAGGCGAACTATGGATTGTCGATCTAGCGGACTTCCGCTCCGTCATTTCTTTCGTGGACAAGTACGAACGGGAGGGTGGCCGTCTGGATATCCTTCTAGCTAACGCTGCCATGGAGCCCGGAAAGTTCGTCCCCACGAAGGACGGGTGGGAGTCTACGTGCGTCGTCGATATTCCTGCGATTTTTTTGCCGTATGCTGATGATTGAAAATGTGAATGCAGAATGCAAGTCAACTACCTCGCAACATCCCTCGTCGTGCTCCTGCTTCTTCCGACAATGGAGAGGACCGCTCGGGAGTGCGGCACCCGACCTCGCGTCGTCAGCGTGTCGAGCGAGCTGATCTACGATGTTGGGTTTGAGCCAGAGGCGGTTGCGCAGCGCGGCATCGTGAAGACTTTGGCTGATCCGGAGTATCTGAAGAAGGGCGCGTGAGTGATAATCTGAATTTCATCGTCAGATTTCACTCTACTGACGCTCTCTCTCGCAGCCGCATGCGACAGCAATATTCCATCACAAAACGTTCGTCAACGTCTCCCTCCCCTTCAATTCTCTCCTACATCTGACTTTTTCTATCACAGTCCTCAACCTCTCCTTCACCCGCTCCCTCACAACCCACCTCCCCCACACCTCCCCCCTCATCGCCGTCGCCCCCGCCCCCGGCTTCTGCGTCTCCGAGCTCCGGCGCGACCTCACCGGCGCCTTCAAGCACGTCGCGAAACTCATGGAAACCCTGATCGCGCTGCCCACGGAGGTGGGGGCGCGGAGGCTGGTCGCTGGGGCGGTGGGATACGCGGGGAGGGAGGACGAGTTGAAGGGGCAGTTTATGAATCGCGCGGAGGTGTGGAAGCCGCATCCGGATATGGAGACCGAGGAGGGGGGGGAGGGTGGAGGAGAGGATTTGGGTGAGCGTTTTGTTGCATATGCATCTTTTCTTCGTGCTTTTGGGTTGACTTCGGGTGTGTGCGGTAGGTTGAGACTTTGGAATTGTTGGGGAAGGTTGATTCGAGGGTCAAGGCTGTCGCCGAGAGGTATTTGTCCGGTTGATTGCGGGGCCTTTGGGCATTTTCTCTTCTGTCTGGCCTGGATTTGGCTTAGATCACTCTCCCCTGGCGCATATCCTTCCTAATTTACCTCGAGCGTAGCATATCATATAGAGTTTTCCCCACTGTCGTTTTTTTCTCTCGCTGATACTATCCCGATTAAATTGTAATGTCAAAATCCAATGCAAAGTGTACTGCTTTAATATTCCTCAGTATGGACCGGGCATTGCTTGTTCTTGGAATTTCTGGCGTTAATAACACCGGATTTCAAGCCCGGGACGTCAACAATAGTAGCGCCAGAGAGAGAAAAAAATGCCGCAGCTTACCTAGGTAATAAGTTGATGTAAAAACCTGCATCTAGCGGAAATAGAGCAACGGCTTGGTTCGAACAAGCAGTTTCCGGGATTGAATATGAGATGTCCACAAGCACACTGATGTGCGACGTTGCTTGGTGGGATTAGACGAGGCCAAGAAATTATGAAGGTGACGAGAACGGAAGAGAATTTGACAGAAACCAGATCAGCTTGCAGTTTCTGAGCAACAAAAAATGGACGTCAATTCGGCTTGAGGTCAAAGTCAAAGCAACGGCTTGAATCGAACAAGCGGACTCCGGATTGAGTATTGTAACTATTTCAGATTCAAAATATTACTACATGGGACCGGGGCGCACCGCTGCGCAACGTTGCCTCGGTGAAACAGACAAGGTAGAGCCGGAGCAGTGTTGCAAACATATATCATACTGTGTCGCTGATATTCCGATGTATTTCTCTCAGCGGAGCAGCTGAGAAAGAGACTGTAAGCCTGTGGCGAGAACATACAGAGGCCTGCCAAGGCGAAGAGAACAGAACAGATTGAAAAACGGTTACTTACATTCTCTGCATGTAAATACTTATGAATCGTAAGCTGCCGCCGAGAAAAAGTCTTTACTGGTAAGCTGCGCCTCGGATGCCTAGGGATTGACCTTAGAAGAAGAAACGCGAGCACATGGCATCGAGAATGCTTACCCTTTCCGCCTGAGCGGCCATCTTGTCCACTTTGCGCTCCAATGTGGTCAGTTGCTCCTGGAGTGGGTCCAGTTTCTTGTCCAGCTCTTCGCGGAACATGGTTCGGAGGTTTTCCATCGTTAGAGTGTTGTCGAGGGCTGTAGATACAGAAAATAAGAGAGAAGCTTAAGACAATGAATATTAACGTAGAAACAAGCACACCTAGGTTTGCATTATGAGCTTCAGTGACCTTCTGCTCGTACGCCGCGACGAGACCGAGGGAGGCAGTATCGATCTCCCCGTAGCCTGTAGGTGTGCGTTACGAGATGGTACGCGCTGATTCGAGCGATTCTCACAAGATTCTCACCTTCTGCAAGCGTAGCTTGATATTTGAGGCTGGCGGCGCGGCCTACATCGGCTTGTGTGGGAGGGTCTTGGGACGCAACGAGTGGAGCACCCATTCGGTCTCGCAGAGCTTGTGGAATGTCGGGTAGTTGCACGGGCATGGCGGGACGGTGACTCGGAAGGACAAAGCGCCTGTGCTTGTTGTTGTTTGTTCGGGATGACGCGATGCGTCACAGCGATGGAACGTGCGCTAACGTGGGAATCCACTCGGCTTTCTCGGCGATGTTGGATGGCCGTATTTTTTGAACTTGGGACCAGGTCGGAAGAAATTCATTTACTTGATGAAAACCTGGGAGAAAAAGCACATTAGCTTCAAGCTCAAGCTTCGAGCTCTTAGCAACACAGAAAAAAAGATCTTCGTGGTCGCCGTTTGGAATGATAAGCAACGGCTTGAATCGAACAAGCAGAATCGGGATCGCTATTTTGGCTTCATCTAATAGGGCCCGGGGCGCAGCGCTGCGCAACGTTGCTTGGTTTGTTTCCAAGTAGGTTGAGGCTTGAGCGGGCTGAACGGAACAAGAAAAAATTATATTCTCTTTTATATGAATGGCCCCGGATGGGTTCGGTGCTCAACTAGTACGCTGCTCTGTGTTTGAAAAACGACCCCGGAAATGATATGGTTGAAGAGGCCGAGATTCAATATAAACAATCTGTGACTAACGTTCACATACAGACGACGGCTTGGTTTGAACAAACGTTCTCCTGAAGGTTACTTGACTTCGTAACGGTGATGGGTGTGCGCACTGACTGGTTTGCGGCTCCACGTTGCTTTGGAGTAGGAGAATTAGAATTTTTCGCAGGAGGTCGCGGTTTCTTGGATCTTGTTTCTGGTTGTCTGAATCCCTGCGGGTGAATAGCATGAAGTCAGCTCAGCCTCGCTCGAGCCCCAGCCGTCTCAACGCCCGGCTCACTCGAGCCGCTCGAGCGGTGGCTCGAGCCCACTTAAAGCAGAATATTGTATTTACCTACGTACTATAACACCTGACCTTGGCTCGAGCCAAGTCCAGCTCGACCCGACCATCCGCTCAAGCCACTCCCTACTCGAGCCAACTCGAGCTACTCACCCGCTCGAGCCAACCCTCCCGCTCGAGCGACCCATCCACTCAATTTAAATCAAACACCTAAAAGGCTAATCCAATGACCAACCGCACAACCTCACCATCTAGCGATTGAAGTCGAGGATTTCTTACCCTGCTATGAAGAAATAGCTCGATCAGTGAAGAAACATGGACTCAGAGTTTACCACCTACCCATAAGGAATTTGGTAACGAAAGTGGCTTATGCATCAGCCCTTGCAACCAACCGATTCATGCGACGTATGCGGAGAGGATTCAATTCGTGCCACTTACTCATCCGCAAAGACAGATAGATCAGTGCAAACTCCACGCGTCGCTGAAGCTGAAGTCGATTTTTCTCGTAGAATAGCGGCTTTGATTTAGGTGAGTGATTCAGTGCTCTAAGAATAGGGGGTCGCAGCGCGATACCTAAGATCCCTCGGTGGACGTTGTTGGTGCATACGTAGTGGCAAGGAGGTGGTGGCACGAGGAGAGTGATCGACAGTGAGAGTCCGTCGACGACATACGAGGGTATATTGATAGTGGCGAGGTTGACGCAGGCGAGAGAAGGCGCCGAATATTGATATTGCAGAGGTCCGGGGAGGTGTGGTGGAAGGCAAGGCGCATTGTGTGGCCCTGCTTGTGACGGTCGGAACCAAATCGGAACTGAAAGAGTCCGAAGTGTCACAGTCACGTATCACACCTCTTCTTCGCCACCACCGTCACCACCACCGAATTTTTGATAGCTTCGCTTGCCAGCCTCAAATCTCAGTTTGCGATATACTCTGCTAAAAAATCTGAAACCCACCACTAGTATCAACCCCAGTCTTACCCCAGGGCCCAGCACATTCCGACAACACGATTCAAACACGCACCGTGCCACTTGGCACTTGCCACTCAGGCTGTGACTGACGCGCTTCGTCAAGAACGCGCCATGGACGCGTCACCGTGCGTTAAAGGACTTCACATGATCTTGTTGCTGACCTTTTCAGAGCTGCCAACCCGAATTTTCGGCGACACAGTCCCAGTGGCATCGTACGGCGCTGACCTGACTCAGACGTCGCTCAATGTTCCAATTCCGCCGCCTTTTCCACTGAACTTGAACTGACACTGACGTCGCTCCTAGTGTCCTGCTCGAACCATATCTGTTTACAGGCGGGAGATAGGTCAGCATTGACAACGTGTGAGTGGTATATCTTGTCTTCCAATCAATTCTCACATTCGTCTAAAATGTAGAAACCACGCCCTAGTGCCGGCTCAAATGGTTGTTTCGCTCGAGCGGGAGGGTCGGCTCGAGCGGGTGAGTAGCTCGAGATGGCTCGAGTAGGAATTGGCTTGAGCAGATGATCGGCTCGAGCTGAATGTTGGCTTGAGTGGAGTGGATGGGCGGCTCAAGCTGAATGTTGGCTCGAGCAGGTAGCCGGCTCGAGCCGGTTGAGCCCAAGCCATGTATTATATAGCATTGATCAAATACATATTTTGCATTAAGTGGGCTCGAGCCACCGCTCGAGCCGCTCGAGAGAGTCGGGCGTTGAGACGGCCGAGGCTCGAGCGAGGCTCCCGGGGCGACAGGAATAGCCTTAGCCCTGAGCATTATAACGAGACAGTAATCAAAGCGAATTGCAAAACGGGATACACCCGATAATATAACTTACACGTAAGGAATCAAGAGGAAAAAAATCAAATCAGGACGTTGGATGGCAACGGCTTGGTTCGAACAAGCTTTCCGGCAGATAAGGAACTGAGGCAAGATTGCATTGGATGCCGGAGCACTTCTATGCAGTGCGACGTTGCTGGCGTTTCAACGGGGAGAGAGGGATGAGATGAGTTGAGTTATGGACTTGCTTTGACAGGAAGAAGAAGAAGATAAAGTTGGAATTGGGTTTGATTGGGAGCGAGTTGGCGTTAGAATTAATTAGCTATGGGTTGTTTTCTACGGCTCTTGGGCAATTCAAACACATCGATGGCAATTGTGTTTACCGCTCTTGGGCAATCTAAATGCATCGTCGACAGTTGATTCTGCATGATGAGGGAGGAGACTGATCTCGAACCATAAATTCGAAAAGATAAAGACAACGAAAAAGATAAAGTTTGTTCAAGTCACAGTGGCAACGGCTCGGATCGAACGAGCGGTTTCCCGTTTATACAAATGCGAGACCGGGGCGTCAGGCGCTACGTTGCTGGTGGGGTGCTTAGAGATTGAAGGGAAAGTCACAGCGAGATTCAAGTTTCGGGGAATTGAGATAGATAGTTAAATGGAATGGTAGGTCGAAGTGTTCAAAGCGGAGAGTCCGTATGAGTGAGAGCGTATGATGGTTTGGATTAACTCGTGAGGTGGTTCAGTAGAACTGTGAGCAGATTACTTAACGAGCTTGACTCCGAAGTCGGGCAGACTCTACAGGGAAAAAGAGCGAATCAAAGGCTGTATGTGGGAGCGACGTGACTGCATAGTCTGACTTTACGCACACACTGAAGGCTGCACTGTCAGCGGCAAGTTGTAATCGCAGGGTTGAACTTGGGTTGAAATTGCCGGCGGAGCGGGACGCTAGCCGGGCCGGCTGTATCCGTTGCGACGGTTGATCTCGGAAGAGAGGCGGAAGAAGCCGGACGTTCTTCCCAACTACAACGACTTGACAACGACGGCGACGGCGAGGACGTTAAGCTTCAAGTAAGGACGCGGCAACGGCACCTACCCACCGCTAGCTCACCAAAGGGTTCAACGACAGCATAGAGAAGATCGACCCCCACACGACAGTATCAATGGCACGGAGCCTTCGTGAGCGACATTGCTGGCTGATTGTGAATGGGAAGAAGCTCGTTGTGATTGGGGCGCGCCGTTCCAGGCGACGAGAAGGGTCCGAGTTCGGCGTGGAGTCGTTGTCAGTCTTTTCATCCTTCTGGCGACGGGGACGCGTATGCTGACGGTGGTGGCACCCAGCGCTCTTCCAAACGACCCCCATCTGCGAAGAACACCACCGCACGACTGGCGTTAGTTCAGGCCTTCAGTCGGTGGGTCCTGACTCTTCGACTCTTGCCCTATCAGGCTCTTCTCCTCGTACATGCCACCTACTAACACGTCGCGTCAGCTTCCAATAGCAGCGCTCCCGCGAAGACCATCATACGCGTGGCGGGCAGGCTTGGGAGGAAGAAGAAGCAGAAGCAAAGCAGACGAGGGAAGGCGTAATCGAGGGTGGCGGTGAGTTTTTGTCTCTTTCAGCCCCCCGCCCCAGGCTGCGCACTGCGC